AGCCTTCTGCGGAGCAGGTGTTGGGCTTCAGTAGGTGTAGGGAGCGATATTTAGGGCCTGAATAAATAGAATAGGTTTTATGGATTGTGGGGGAGGGGCGGGGGGGTAATTATAGTATATTGTCAGTAATTCTTCGACCGCTATATTGGGCTTCTCACGCGGTGACCTTTGCCTGCCAATGTGCTGTCAGCCCTTCTACCACACATCATCGCAACATGGGCTCGGAAACGCTGGTGCGAAAGACTGCACGTTTAGGGTTCAGGGTTCAGGGTTTAAGTCAGACGGCTATAGGTTCTGAATCCGGTTCTTAGGTTCGTAGTGCTTCGCTCATATGGGGGGGCGGGGTTGCTTCAATTAAACAACCATGTGTATTCATGTCTCTTTTTTCTGTATACATGCATTAAAGAGTTATATATATATATATAGGCATATATATATATACATATGCCTATATATGTATATGCACACATCTCTATACATAGCACATATAGCTCATATGACAGATACGTCTTATTCTTTGTTTTGCTTAAGCAGATGGGGGAGAGGCTCAGAAGAAGCTTGCGAGTTCATCCAATGGGAAATAGAGAGGGTCCCTAAAACTTGAAAAACCGCATGGCAAAGCCCCAAGATGCCAAAAAACCGTAAACAATCCTGAAGCACCCTAAACAATCCTAAAGCCCCAAATTCCTGCATCCATGGGGATGCAGCTACCCCTAAACCCTAAACCCTAAACCCTAAACCCTAAACCCTAAACCCTAAACCCTAAACCCTAAACCCTAAACCTAAACCCTAAACCCTACAACCCTAAACCCTGACTTTAAGGGTAGTTGCGTGAGCCCATAGTATGGTCAGTTACCCTCCCTAAAGGGTTCTGATGTATGGGCCCCTGGATTGAAGAGGGTATATTATGAGGAGCATACGAGGGGTCCCATTTTAAGGGCCCATGCTAAGGGACCATGAAATTTTTTAGGGTTCTTAAGGGAGGGGGGTTCATGGGGGGGTAGGTACCTAGGGAACCCCTGAGGGAAGCTTCGGGAGGGGACCTTGGGTTGCATGCCCCCCTTGAACCTCCCCCCCCCCTTAGAGCCCTATAAAACTACCCTAACCCTAAACCCTAAACCCTAAACCCTAAACCCTAAACCCTAAACCCTAAACCCTAAACCCTAAACCCTAAACCCTAAACCCTAAACCCTAAACCCTAAACCCTAAACCCTAAACCCTAAACCCAAGCCCCTAAGACTTCCTAAGACTGAACCCAGTAACATAGGGCCTATGCCCGGGGCACTCCCTTCGCATCCACAGCATTCCCAGCCCAAGCATCCTCGCGGACCGAATGAACCCTGAGCTTGGGAAGTGCTAGCAACAAATTCTCTAAAGTTTAGGGTTTAGGGTTTAGGGTTTAGGGTTTAGGGTTTAGGGTTGAGGGATGTTTTTTCTGGGTTTAGGGTTCAGGGTTTAGGGTTTAGGGTTTTTTTTAGGGTTCAGGGTTTAGGGTCTAGGGCTTAGGACTTAGGATTTAGGGTGTAGGGTTTAGGGCCCATAAGCCATGTGGCGATCATCTGCACAGCTTAGATGCCGTTTGGAGATCCTGTGCCCTGTGCCATGACTCCTCCATTCTTATTCTTGCAAAAAGACAACGAATGTCTGCACAACCCTAAACCCTAAACCCTAAACCAGAAACCCCAAACCCTAAACCCTAAGACTTCTAGGGATAACGTACCCTGACTATGAATCCCCTACGCTACCGAAGCCGCGCTCAAGAGTGCAAGGGTTGAGGGTTGAGAGCCCAGAATATGCCCCTAGATCCAAGAGTAAGCTTACTAGGACAAAAAAGGATGCCCTTCATGTTTTAAAGGGGTCTGAACCCTAAAAAAGGGGAATATGGGCCTAGGTCCTCTATCTAGGCTGCCTAGTAACCTAGGCTTAAAAAGGGTGCCCTTTTTGCTTAAAGGGGTTTATAAGGGAACCTAAACCCCCCCAAAAAGGGAATTCGGGTACTACTGGGCATCCTAGCTGTACTACCCAAGTCATATCCCCGATACAAATCCTGCACGCTACCAAGGCCTCAGCAACCCGAAGCCTGACACCCTATAAACCCTGTACTGCCATAAGTCACCCTAAACCCTAAACCCTAAACCCTAAACCCTAAACCCTAAACCCTAAACCCTAAACCCCATATTGGTAACACGATGTAGGACCATCTTCCTGGGGTTCGATTAGTCCTCAAGCACAGTGCTTTTGTGACAAGCAGGTTCCGCTTGCGAGCAGCGTGGATCGACTTAGGCTTTAGGGTGTTGTTTAGGGTTTAAGGTTTAGGGTTTAGGGTTTAGGGTTTAGGATGTAGGATTTAGGATTTAGGATTTAGGGTTCAGGCTTTAGGGTGTTGGGGAGCTTTGGGGGTTTTGAGGGTCTAGGGTTTAGGGGTTTTGGGGGTTTAGGGTTTAGGGGCTTAGGATTTAAAGGTTTAGGGTCCGGGTGTAGGGTCTTGGGTTTAGGGTTTCAGGGGTTTAGGTGGGGTTCGGTAAAACATCGAGGTGGAGGGTCTTGCGGGGTGCCATTGGTTTTGGCTTAAGGGTTAAGGGTTAAGGGTCAAGGGTCAAGGGTCAAGGGTCAAGGGTTAAGGGTTAAGGGTTAAGGGTTAAGAGTTTAGGGTTTAGGGTTTAGGGTTTAGGGTTTAGGGTTTAGGCACTTCGGTTGCAGGCTGTGAGGGTTGAGGTTCAGGGGGGCTGCCTTGAGGTCCCTGGGTCGCCTTTAGGAGGGGTTACAGGAGATTTTTAAAGTAAGATTTGATGGTAGGTTCCCTAAACCCTAAACCCTAAACCCTAAACCCTAAATCCTAAGTCCTAAACCCTGAACCCTAAACCCTACACCCTACACCGAAACCCTGAATCCTAAACCCTACGGATAGCTCGCCAGGAACCTTCGAGAGAGAGTCGTGCAAGACGTGTGTTGAACTGCTCGCAACCAGCGGGGACCTACCAGTCAGGCTCGCCTTCTCAAGGGAACCAAAAAACAGGGTTTAGGGTTTAGGGTTTAGGGTTTAGGGTTTAGGGTTTAGGGTTTAGGGTTTAGGGTTTAGGGCTTGGGGTTCTGGACAGAATTGTGATCCGTCGACTAATTGCGGACCAGAGTAACCCAGGAATCAACAGAACAGCTTTGGTTCTTCATAGTGGGCTAACCCTAAACCCAAAACCCATATGAGGGAACCTAACGCAATGAAACAGAAGACTAGATAAAGTCCTGCGGGTGATCAGAGCAAGCACCGGCATATCCTAAACCCTATGCCCCAAACCCCTAGATGTGTTGAGAGCTGTACAGGCACCTGTCGAAAACACGAAGAATGGTCGTCCCTTCGTTGCCCGAACAAAAGGAATAATACCTTCACTTTTGGGGTGGTTCTTAAGCAAATAGTAGTTTTTGGTAGTTTTTGGTTCGTACATTTTGGGTGGTTCTTAAGCAAACAGTAGGGTTTAGGGTTTATGGTTTAGGGTTTAGGGTTTTGGTTCCCGAACCTCACTTGGTTCACACCTTCACAGGGCGGCGGTGGTCCAGAAAGAAGCCGATGTACGGATTGTGCGCCGCCGAGAGGTGTGTGAGCATGGCTGCAAACCTTCAGTGAGTTTAGGGTTTAGGGTTTAGGGTTTAGGGTTTAGGGTTTAGGGTTTAGGGTTTAGGGTTTAGGGTTTAGGGTTTGGGGTTTGGGGTTTGGGGTTTGGGGTTTGGGGTTTGGGGTTTGGGGTTTGGGGTTTGGGGTTTGGGGTTTGGGGTTTGGGGTTTAGGGTTCGGGGTTTGGGGTTTAGGGTTTAGGGTTTGGGGTTTAGGGTTTAAGGTTTAGGGTTTAGGGGGACCCTTGGGGGTAGAGACCCTCAAAATAAGGTCCCTGTTTAAGCGAGCCAGAAACGAGTTAAGAAGGGTTCCCTTTCAGCGGTCCCCCATATCCTCCCAGGACCCGAAGGATCCGCGTACCTCATGATGATATACTTGGGCAGGGTTTAGGGTTTAGGGTTTCGGGTTTAGGGTTTAGGGCTTAGGGTTTAGGGTGACTTGGGCCCCAAAGTCCCTGTACAGGAAGGACTTCAAGGCCCAGGAATACAATATTTAGGTACATGGACCCTAGGATTTACGAGACCCAAGAGTAACTCTTGTCACAACGGACGAAAAGCGGGACCCTTACAAGGGACCTTAGGGGTTATTTTGGGGGTTAATAAGGGGGAAGAAGATTAAGGGTCTCCGGAGCCTTCCGTCAACTGCACATCGCGCCTTTCCCCATGGTCCACGTCTCCCCACGCCCCTCTCCCATCAAAATATTCCGACCCCTTTCCCTTGACCGTGTCCTCTCCGTGGCCTCCCGTCAAAATTCGTTCCGTCCGACCATCCTCCGTTGACCGTCTCCTCTTCGTGGCCTCTTCCGTCCGAACACCCTAAACCCTAAACCCCTAAATTTTCCTAAACCCTAACAACCCTAAACCCAAAAACCCTAACAGCCCTAAAACCCTTAACAAAAAACCTTTAAAACCCTAAACCTAAAAACCCTGAACCCTAAAAACCCTAAACTGCCGGGCAAGGTCATAAAGTTAGCGGGCAAGGTCATGAAAATAGTGTGCAAGGTCACGAATTTAGTGGGCAAGGTCATGGGTCAGCCGACAGACCTTGCCCACTGATTAAATCACCTTGCCCGCTAGTTTCATGAACCTGCCCACTAATTTGATGACCTTGCCCGCAAAGTCATGAACTACAGAGTGGTTTGGAGTTAGGGCTTGGGGTTTAGGGTTTAGGTTCAGGGTTTAGGGTTCAGGTTTTAGGGTTTTAGGGTTTTAGGGTTTTAGGGTTTTAGGGTTTTAGGGCTTTAGGGTTTTAGGGTTTTAGGGTTTTAGGGTTTTAGGGTTTTAGGGTTTTAGGGTTTTAGGGTTTTAGGGTTTTAGGGTTTTAGGGTTTTAGGGTTTTAGGGTTTAGGGTTAAGCCGTAAATCCCACAACCTGAACCCTGACGCCTTAAGCCCCCTATGCCGCGCGGGGAAGCTGTGGAGATCGCGAGTGCTGCGTTCCGAGGTATGGGTTGTGACGAGAAGATGCCCATTGCGCAGCTTCAATCCTGAGAGAGGCTCGTGGCTTCGGGAACAAGGTTTGGGCTTTGGTGGTTGGGGGGCCTTAGCTCTCTAAGCTAAGTTGACCCAAACCCTAAACCCTAAACCCTAAACCCTATAAACCCTAAACCCTAAACCCTAAACCCTAAACCCTAAACCCTAAACCCTAAACCCTAAACCCTAAACCCTAAACCCTCAACTAAACCCTAAACCCTAAACCCTAAACCCTAAACCCTAAACCCTAAACCTTCAAACGCTAAACCTTCAACCCTAGACCACCTTCCGGCTTGAGGAGCCGCAAACATTTGTTGGGTTTCGGGGTGGGGTTTAGGCTATGCTCCCCTTAGAACCCCGGTAAAAAAACACTATTTTGAATCTTCTCTTGGGCTTTATATAAACAAAGATAAAAAAAATTCCCGAGGGGGATATAGTGGGTATTAGGAGCCTAGGCAAACCTCAAGAGGATCCCGGGGTTTGGGGTTTAGGGTTTAGGGTCTGGGGTTTAGGGTTTGGGGTTTCGGCTCAGGGCTTATAAGGGAAGCTGACCCTAAGAAAAGGGGGCCCCACTATGTTGATTCCTAAACCCTAAACCCTAAACTCTAAACCTGAACCCTAAACCCCAAACCCCCAAACCCTAAACCCTTGATTCCAGGCTGAGGCCTGAGATCTAGATTCTCAAAGGTTTGAAGGCTTGAGCGTCTTGGGCCATGGGCTGCCTCAGGGTTTCGGGTTTCGGGGTTATATAGGGTTTAGGGTGTAGGGTTTAGGAGTTATATAGGGTTTAGGGTATAGGGTTTAGGGTGTAGGGTTTAGGGTTTAGGATTTAGGGTTTAGAGTTAGTTTCAGACCGTCCGGAAGGTTTTCGCTACTCCTTCTCCCCTCTAGTAATGATGCACGAAAGGGTGGGGAGGCGCAGTCCTGCGTTGTTCTGCAACTCTAGACCCTAAACCCTGAACCTGAAACCCTGAACCCTAAACCCCAAACCCTGAATCCTAACCCCTAAACCCTAAACCCTTAACCCGATTTCTTCACGACTCGTGTAGCAAGCGTGTCGCGCTCGCGGCTTGGGTTACGCTGTAGCGGCGCCCCTATAAACAGTGTAGACACTATCGACCCTATAAACCCTACAGACCCTGTAAACCCTATAAGACTTATGGACCCTATAGACCCAAAACTTGAAGGGGGCTTTGGGAACTTTCGAGCTGCTGAAGTTCTGTTTGCACCCTCAGACCGCGGCAAAGGCTTGCAGGAGGTCTTGGGGGTTTAGGGTTTAGGGTTTCTGTTTAGGGTTTAGGGTTTAGGGTTAGGGTTTGGGGTTTGGGGTTTGGGTTCAGGGTTTGGGGCTGAGGGCACAACAACATTCCACCCACTACCCGCAACTGTGCAAGCCGGCACCCTTTGTTCCCTCAACCCTACTGACATCCTACTACCCTAAAACCCTGGGTTCTCTGAGGTCTAAACCCTATATGAACCCGAATGATTCGGAAACCCTAAACCCTGAACCCTAAACCCCAAACCCTAAACCCTAAACCCTAAGCCCTACTCGCAAGCCGCGGAGCTCGTCCAAAACCTCCTGGGCGGTCGGACGCCCATCAACACTCCAATTCACCTGGGGCACGGCACCGCCCTAAACCCTAAACAGGGTTTAGGGTTTCGGGTTTAGGGTTTAGGGTTTAGGGTGGCAAAACCCCAAACCCCAAGTCCGACACCTTCAAGCCTAAGGCCTGGACCTTGACACTGGGATTAGAGCGTAGGGCGACTTTGTTTAGGGTTTAGGGTTTAGGGTTTGGGGTTTAGGGTTTGGGGTTTAGGGTTTAGGGTTTAGGGTTTCGGGTTTAGGGTCGGGTGGGGCAGGGGTAGTGTAGGATTTAAGAGGCTTGCACTAAAGGCCCTAACCCAAGCGTCGAGGTTTAAATTTACGACTGAGGGATTACCCTACTTAAACCCTAAACCCTAAACCCTAAACAGGTCTAAACCCCATTCCCCCAAAGATCTTCAGGTTGAGGGCTTGAGGTTTAAGGTTTTCCTAAGCCCAAAACTCTAAGGCTTAAGGGTAGTTACATGGTCCCTGAGCATGGGCCCTTAAATTGGAATTCAGGGCCCATACATCAGCACCCTTTCAAGGAGGTACGGGACCATGATATCAAGGGCCCATGAAACTACCCTTAGAAAAAAACACTCCCTTAAGACCTACACCCCTAGTTCTTAGTAGGAAATGAGGGAATTCGGTACCTCCTATCCCCTGGATGTACCCTTTAAGGGGTGCTATAGGATACCTCATGCGCTCATTTCTTTACTCTGCAATAACCAAAAGTTCAAAAAGTTAAACTTTCTTCCTCCTACTAAATAAGGAAACCAGAAAAGTTTGAGGTTCAGCTATTGGCGAGGTTTTCCCTACTAAGAACCAGCAAGTAAAAGCTAAAGGGGTCCTCAGATCTTGGCTGCACTTAGGGGGGGGGGGGAGCTATAAACTAAACTTTTAGCTGCCTTACTACGAAACCCAATAAAACCAAAAAGGCTAAGGACCTAAAGTTACAGTAAAGCACCACAAAGTAAAGGGGTCCTCAGAACTGCTGCCAGTCCCAGCTGCCATGCGGAAGACGAGTTGGCGACACCAAGCACCAACGCCTTCACCGGTCTTAGGGATGTTTAGGTTTTGGGGTTTGGCCTGAAGCCTGAACCCTGAACCCTGAACCCTGAACCCTAAACCCTAAACCCTAAACCCTAAACCCTAAACCCTAAACCCTAAACCCTAAACCCTAAACCCTAAAGGCCCTCAAACCCTAAGGCCTCGAACCTTCTAAGACCTTGCTAGCCCCTCAGCTGCCCTCCCCCACCCCCCCCACCCCCCACCCCAAAGAGCAGAGGCTCCACCAACCCTAAACCCTAAACCCTAAACCCTAAACCCTAAACCCTAAACCCTAAACCCTAAACCCTAAACCCTAAACCCTAAACCCTAAACCCTAAACCCTAAACCCTTGCCTAAGGCTATAGCCGAAACAGCGTCGGGGGCCTCAACCCCGCTTGTCCTGGTACATGAACAACATGGGCTGCAAGATACGACGTTTCAGGTTTTCAGGTTCAGGGTGTAGGTTCTAGGGCTTACGTTGCAGCCACCCCTTAATTTGTAGGTATAACGCATACAGCTGTGGGTAAATTTAGTCCCAAGTAAACGGTCTAGCGTCGAAGAGCACAGATGCAAAAAAAAAACAAGGTCGGCGTCTAAACCCAAAACCCTAAACCCTAAACCCAAAACCCTAAACCCTGAACCCCGAACCCCAAAACCCTAAGCCCCAAATTTGAGAGAGAAAAGCACGAGCCTCGATCACGAAGCAGCGTGGCGGGTAAAGAGGACTCTCGGCCGTCACGAAGGGCTCCCAGAATGGAGATGCGCTCCATGGCAGTGTTCCTTAGGGTTTAGGGTTTAGGGTTTAGGGTTTAGGGTTTAGGGTTTAGGGTTTAGGGTTTAGGGTTTAGGGTTCAGAATTCAAGGTTTAGGAGCAGTTCAAGAGCTTTAGGGCTGTGCTTCGTGGTTCTTCTGGAGTATAGGCTGCCCTAAAGTCAAGACCCTTAACCCTACTTAAACACGAGTTAAGCTGCTCTTTGATGCCTACACCCCCACCCCTTTCATAAGCGGAACCACAGGTTCCATATTCCCTGAGCTCCTATGCGAAGAGTCTTCGCTTGCTCCCAAAACGTTCGTGCACACACCCCTAACCCTAAGTCCGAAACCCTACACCCCAGATCCTAAACCCTAGACCCTACAGGCCCAAACCCTACACCCTAGACCCTGACTCCTTCAACTTGAAAGCAGTGGTGTGGCAGGGCATACCCTGAACTGTAAACCCTTGGAACCACCCCGTGACACGTGAAAGCCCCCTAAACCCAAAGTCCTAAACCCTAAGCCCCAAACCCTAAACCCTAAACCCTAAACCCTCTCATCTGATGGTGAGCCAGTCCCACACTCACCCTAAACCCTAAACCCTAAACCCGCCCGAGTTGCCACGTGGGCCCATCGCCGGCCACTCCAGCCATCAGCAGTTCGACGAGAATGATCCCGGCCGAGAAGATGTCCGACCGGGGGTTGGCCTGGGGTTTAGGGTTTAGGGTTTGTTTAGGGTTTAGGGTTTAGGGTTTAGGGTTTAGGGTTTAGGGTTTAGGGTTTAGGGTTTAGGGTTTAGGGTTTAGGGTTTAGGGTTTAGGGTTTAGGGTTTAGGGTTTAGGGTTTAGGGTTTGCGCTTTAGGGCTTTCAGGTTGACGGCTTCGGGTTCGGGTCTAGGGAGGTTGGGAGTTTAGGGAAGTTTCGAGCTTGTCGTCAGGCAGGGGGGGGGGGGGGGGGGGGGAAAGGGCGGGCTCCAGGGTAAGAGGGGCCGGGGAGGATGGCGGGGGAGGGATTGAGCGTTTAAGGTTTAGGCCTAAACCCTAAACCCTAAACCCTAAACCCTAAACCCTAAACCCTAAACCCTAAACCCTAAACCCTAAACCCTAAACCCTAAACCCTAAACCCTAAACCCTAAACCCTAAACCCTAAACCCTAAACCCCAGGGTTTTGGTACTTTCTACTGGCCGTGCTGAGGTCCCAGGTCTGTGTCCCCTGAAGAGCGACGCCCCCACGGCACCCCTTCCTACCCTTAGACCCTCTAGACAAGCTCGACCACAAGAGAAAAGCCAGGAATAAACAAGGGGTGCCATTCTCGATTTAAAGGGGCTTTCTAAGAGAACCTAACCCCCCCCCCCCCCCCCCCCCAAAAAAAAAAAAAAACAGGGGAATCAGGGCCTCCTCTGGGTCCTAGCTATAGCCTCTGAAGCTTAAACCTCGCTCACGTCGGGGCGTCGGACTTTGGAGTTTTTGGAATAGGGTTAAGGGCTTATGGCGCGCAGCGACCACGTAAGCCCAACCTCATCAAAACATGCCCTAGCTGCTTAGGTCATAGGATACCAAGTAAGGGTTGCCCGCTCAGGGTTCAGGGTTTTGATCGGCAACCGGTGGAGAAGTGCCTTACCGAACTCTCCAAACCCTAAACCCGAAACCCTAAACCCTAACCCCATGGATGGATCTAGAGCAGACAGTGCACGAGAAGCTAAACCTTGGCAGAGCTCCATATTTCTTCGGGTAGTTACATGGTCCCCTAATATGGGCCTTAGGATACACCCTATGAAACCCAAGGCCCCATGCTTGGGAACCCTTGAAAAAGGTAAGGGACCATACTTAAGGGGCCATAGAACGACCCCTAAGTGTTAGAGATTCTTATCCTACAAGCCCTAGAAGGCCCAAAAGCCCTATAAACCCAATAAACCTAGAAACCCTAGAAACCCTAGAAACCCTCGAAACCCTAGAAACCCTAGAAACCCTAGAAACCCTATAAAGCCCTAGCCTCCCAAAACCGCAATGCCATTTGGTAGTATGCGGATCTGTCAACCCCAAGGCTTGTAAGGCTGTATCCACCCTCCTCCCAGGGCTTAGGAGGGTTTAGGGTCTAGGGTTTAGGGTTTGGGGTTTGGGGTTTAGGGTTTAGGGTTTAGGGTTTAGGGTTTGGGGCATCCTCCCCATGAAATGCTTTATTGGGCCCTTGCCTTTGTCGGACGTGCAGTCTCTTGTGGCAGCACGGCCGAAATCCTAGACCCAAAAGGCCCTTGCGGCAGACGATGTAGAAAGCTCCTTGAGCTTTCAACCCAAAACTTCGAAAACGTCCTCAACATCCAAACCCCAAACCCTAAACCCTAAACTTCCTAAATTCCCTAAACCCTAGCCCTAAACCCTAAACCCTAAACCCTAAACCCCCAACTTCCTCAACTTTCCCACCACCCGGAAACAACCCCCCTTCTGCAGGCCGAGGTGGCGGGGGGGAGCACAAACGAAGCCGATGGACTAGGGGGTCGGTTGCCGTCCGGGACTGCATGCATGCAATGCTCCGGTGGGGCATATCCTGGGCTTGGGAGGTTTAGGGTTTAGGGTTTAGGGTTTAAGGTTTAGGGTTTAGGGTCTTACTGCATGCATGCAATGCTCCGGCGGGGCATATCCTGGGCTGGATTTAGGTGTTTTTTTGCGCGATGTTGTTTTGATTTAGGGGTTGTTGATTTTGTAAGGATTTGTATTTCTAGTCTGCTGTTGTTTAACAGGTTTTTTGGGCTGTGGGGAGGTTTGGTTAGGGTTTTTACGGGGTAGGGTCTCCGGGGGGGCATATCCTGGGCTGGAGAGGGGGGTGGGGGGATGTTTATAGGGTTTAGGGTCTTACTGCATGCTTGCAATGCTCCGGCGGGGCATAGCCTGGGCTGTTTTTCGGGTTTTCGTGTGTTTGTTTCGGTTAAGGGTTGTTGTTTTTGTAGAGTTTGCTGTAGGTTTTTCTTGTTTAGGGTTTTTTAGGCGTTTGGTGGATTTGGCTAGGGTTTTGGGGTTTAGGGTCTCCGGTTGGGGCATATCCTGGGCTTGTGTAGGTTTGAGGGTTTAGTTCAGTACGGTTTAGGCATTTTCGGTTGTTCTGCTTTGGGGATTCACGGCTTCAGGGTGTCTAGCACCGTTGTCAGCACTCAGTAAAGGGCCCAGAATGGGAATTCTAATCCTTAACCCTAAACCCTAAACCCTAAACCCTAAACCCTAAACCCTAAACCCTAAACCGAAGGCGGAAGGGCCTGTCTACTAATGACCCATCAACTCCTAGTTGAGGGCTTTCGGGGTTTAGGGCTCCCTAAATCCTAAACCCTAAACCCTAAACCCTAAATCCTAAACAACAGGGTTTTGGGTCAAGGGTTTCGGGGTTTGGGCATGGGTTGTGATGCTTTTACTACATGTGTTCCCCTCCTGTGTGCACAAAAAGGTGGGAAGCGGGGCCCTGGCGATATGCCTGACAAAGCTGAGGAAGTTAGGATTGGGGGTTAAAGGGGTTTAGGGTTTAGGGTTTAGGAGGGTTGACCTAAACCCTAAACCCTAAACCCTAAACCCTAAACCCTAAACCCTAAACCTTAAACCCTCAATCCTAAACCCTGTCAAGGAATGTAAGCTCTGAGTTGCATGTCATGTATACATGCTGGCAATTTGGCTTCCAAAATCACGTATTGGATGGTGAAGCGTTTAGGGCTCAGGGCTTATGCGCTTGACTTGATTTCAGGTCTTGAACAGAAGCATAGATCTACGATAAGGTGGCAGAACCTCACCTGCTCCTAAACTCTTGTACCTTTGGGTCAGGTATCCCCAAACCCGGAGAAACACAACAAAAACCTAACAAACCCGCTTAGGTGGCCAGGGCCCCGGCCGAAAATACCCTAAACCGCCCTAAACCGTAAAGCAGCCCTACGCTGCCGCCCTGAACCCTTAACCACTTCAAAAGGAACAGCAAGTTTCGCCTGCCGCTTGGCTACGAAGTCAACAACAAAGCACCGAACCCCAAACCTAAGGGTGGTTTAGGGTTTAGGGTCTAGGGTCTAGGGTCTAGGGTTTAGGGCTTCGGGACTCGAAGCCCGAAACAACCCTAAAACCTGGAAACTCTCGAGTTTCAGGGCTTTGGTTTCGGGTTTAGGGTTTAGGGTTTAGGGTTTAGGGTTTAGGGTTTAGGGTTTAGGGTTTAGGGTTTAGGGTTTAGGGTTCAGGGCTTTAGGGTTTAGGGCTTTGGAGGCTTAGGTTTGAAGGTTTCGAGACTTCGGGTCTAGGGCTTGGGGGGTTTAGGAGGTCTAGGGTTTAGGGTTCTGGGTTAGGGTTTAGGGTTTAGGGTTTAGGGTTTAGGGTTTAGGGTTTAGGGTTCTGGGTTAGGGGGTTTAGGGTGGATAGGGTATGTAGGGTCTATGGGGTTTTTCAGGGTTTGGGGCCGTTTAGGGTTCAGGGTTAAAGGGGAGGGCGGTGCCCCTCTGGTGCTGTCAGTATGTTGCGGCGACTCCTTCGATCTTGACGTTGCGATTCCGGACACATGTCGAAAGCTTCATGTGGACTACCGCGTCTGGCAGCGCGCGATGCCCTTGGAAATGCACCCAGCTTCCACTGGCCATCTGCCTGAGCAGGTAGTTGTTCTTGCTTTCGCACGCAACCTGCCACAGTTTGACATCGAGGGGGTCCATCCCGGCAATGCCGTTCCTCTTGCGGGAAGAAGTGGGAGGGATGGTCATGTAGGGGACCTTTGCGTTGGGATAGGTTCTTGGGCCAAAATTTGCTATCCCTATAGGGGAGTCAGATGCAAGTCTATTGGGGACTATCTTACAACTTAGGACTATGTTATAGTCATACAGGGAAAATGTCTTAAACTAAGGAACACAGAGGATCACAAGGGATAGCCACTTAGGGTCCAGTCTCAGCCAAGATTCCTGGCGTGCCAATGGCTGTACGCGAAACTTGGTTGCTGAAGTAGGAATTGGAAATCCCTTTCCTCAGGATCAGTGGGGCTTAAATTCTAGACCCAAGAGGTAAAATAGGAATAAAAACAGGGTACTCTTTTGGGTTTAAAGTTTGAAGGGGCTTATGAGGGAACCTAACCCTAAAGCAAGGGAATGGTCGCCTCCTCCCGGTCCTTAGAATTTTTAGGGCCGTAAACCCTAAATTCCCCTTACAGCAGCCGCTCGCAAACAAAAAGGTTCAACTGGTAGCTTTCTTCGCTTCCCTCTTCGGGGCATTTCCATGAGGGCCTACCTTTCGGTTGAGGGTTTAGGGTTTGGGCTTCGGGTTGAGAACCTGAAAGCCACAGCGAATAAGTGATTCGAGAAGCTAGTGTGAATGTCACAAAGCATCAGATGTCATCCCTATCCCCTGAACCCTAAACTCAAAACCCTTAACGGAGTTATCATGCAAAAATCTGAGAAAACCGGTGTTCGGATGGCAGAAGCTGCTCGGTGGATCCCAAAACACACCGTGTAATATAGGGATAATATAGGGGGCGTAATTAGAATATGTTCTTTCTTTGAGGGGGATTTCTCCAGTATAAGTGTATAGGGACCAGAAGGGAACACCAGTGGTAGCTCTTCCGGCCACTATGTTATACAACACCCCCCACCCACCCACCGCTCAATAACAAGACACAGCAGACCAGCCAACGAAAAAGTTGTCGACCAACACAGAAACCCAGAAACCCTAAACCCTAAACCCAGAAACCCTGAACCCTAAACCCTAAATTACTAAACCCACAAGAAATCCAGCTCGCTTGAGGTCAAGGCTTTAATGCTTAGGGGTTTGCACATTCACCCCTCAGGCCCCCCAAACCCGACATCCACGGTTCTAGATGTCGAGAGCCTCCTATGAGCCTCCCGAAGCCAACCCACAACCCTACAAGTAAGCATGCGCGGTTGTAGGGGTTCGGGCTCCGGGAAACCGAACCCTAAACACGATAGCCCTTGTTGGTGTTCCTCCATGACCCTGAGGGGTGCGAGTGGGGAGTCCCACCTGGCTTAGAGGGCCGGGTTGCTTTTAAGGAGCGTAAACAAAGTAACTAGAAGTTGTTATCAGCAGGAAGCCAAATTATGATAAACCCCACATGCTTCCCGAAACTTGCTTTAACTCTGACATCTCTGACTAATTCTTGAACTTGGGGGAACTAGGTACCTTAAAACCCTTGACCTCTTTTTACAGGCAACAGCCGCTCCTAAACCCTAAACCCTAAAATTCAAGTTCCTTACCATCAACACAGATGAAACAAGTCCGGGCCTGGCTTTGTCAAAATCCCTACTACACGCTCGGCATCGGCACCTTATGCTACCCCCCAGCGGTTTAGGGTTTAGGTTTTAGGGTTTAGAGTTTGGCGTCAGGGTTCACAGTCTCATAGGCATTACAAGGGCCTGAACAAAGGCCTATGAAGAACATGGTATGTGCGCCTTACTTTGGCCTGGGGATTAAAAGATCGAATTCAGCGCTTACGCGTGGCTTACGTCAAGGCTTTCAAAAGCTCAGAGTGCGAATGTTCCAGGTTGGCGGGGGGTAGGGTTTCGGGTTTCGGGTTTCGGGTTTCGGGTTTCGGGTTTCGGGTTTCGGGTTTCGGGTTTCGGGTTTAGGGTTTAGGGTTTAGGGTTTAGGGTTTAGCCTTTAGGCTTTAGGGCTTAGTGCTTAAGGTTTAAAGGGATCAGAATGCCCAGCCCTGCGTCTGCCGAAGGCCGTCCGAGCGCAACTTGGCAAGACCAAAGTCGAAAATCTTCAGCATGCCAGTGTCCTCACTTGCAAAGGGTTTAGGGTTTAGGGTTTAGGGTTTAGGGTTTAGGGTCTAGGGTTGCCAGTTCCTCACTTGCAAAAGCCACCCTGAACCCCTCAAACCCGACTCTCCTCAACCCGGCACAGGTCTTAACATGCTCTACACACAAACCCAAAACCTCTGGTCGGGGTCGTTTGAAAACCTCTTCAAGAAAGCAAAGGGCACCCTTCTTATTCCTAGTTTAAGGTGAGGGTAGCAAAGGATCCCATGAGAACAGGACTGTGTGTGTGCGTGTACATGTGTCAGTCGAGGTTGGCGGCTGACAGTTTCTGTTGTCCAGTGCCTGCCGGCGTCGGGTGGCTTGGGGTTTAGGCTTCAATGTTTAGGGTCTAAGGAAGAAGGGCCACACTTTGGGTCCGAGCAAAAGTACCGGCAGCCAGACGCAAGGCACTCACAGTTCTTTAAAGCATCGTTGTCTGGGCGACCTTAGTTCCGAGTTGGGAGGTGCCCTAAACCCTAAACCCTAAACCCTAAACCCTAAACCCTAAACCCTAAACCCTAAACCCTAAACCCTAAACCCTAAACCCTAAACCCCGGGGTAGTGGAACATGACAATCTTTCGGGTCTGGAGTGAAGGCTTAGGGCTTAGGGCTTAGGGTTTGGGGTTTAGGCTTTGAGGTTCAAGGCTATCTTCCCAGAACATCTTCCTTGAGCCACCCTAAACCCTGAGCCCTAAACCCCAAGCCCGAGACCTTTTCACACCTCAAGTCGTCCTTGAAACCCTAAGCTCCAAAACCCTGCATCCGA